CATCGACGAGAAATCTTTGCGGGCACCTGCACATTACAAGCTCAGGGTGGCAGCTAGCGAGGTGTTGCCAAGGAACATCTAAGCCAAAGCGATGTGGCCTCCCGGAGCTGTCGCCGCTCTGCTGGAGGGCCGAACACCGAATAAGGAGGAAGTCCAACTTCCAAAGATCTCTGGTTTCGGCGTCGATCTCTTGCCGCGGAACTGCAAGTCCCATGTGTCCGACGCACTGCAAACTACCTCGGTCCAAGGCACCGTCGAATCCGTGAAGTCCATTCTATGGAAAGCATCAACAGTGGCCGAGGGAAGGTCGGGTGCAGATGCCCAGCTAGTCGAGGGCCTGCACTTGTAGCTTTGCCAGAAGTCCTGGATCAGCCGCTGCCAAAATTTAAATGCCGGGCTGTTTTCAAAACACATCACTGCTCGGTGGTCTGTCCAGAAGGTGGCAGTCAGCTTTCACTACGCATGCACGGAATACATGATGCACTTTTACGTCCCTGCCTCGAGATGAAACTCGTGCGCTGCCGTGGTCGCGAAGTGCCCTCTCTTTGGCTCGCTGGGCTGCTGAAGTATTGCCTCCACCTGCATGGATGTGCCGGCACAGCGATGTAACGAATCAACTCTGGAACAGGGCAGACAACGGGCCAATTGCATCACAAGACCCCTGGAGAGCCTGCTGGACTTGCACTTGTAGGGCTAGGAACGAACGGTGCGAGCGGATCAACGTCTTGCAGATCCTCCGTAAGCCTCGATCTTGCTGCAGATACGACTCCCTACGACAAGTGATTGAAGTCTTACAGGTGAGCCAAAAATAGCCAAAACATGCCTCTCATATTGTCATCCTAGCACAGACTTACGGAGCATCCGCGATATGTGGCTCATGACTCACCTATTCTGTGCTGCCAAACGTCGCTGGTTTGGTGGCTCGCCGCTCGCTTCCCCACAGGTATGTGTCCAGGCGCATGTCAAGCACTCAGATAATCTTTCGTGCAAGGTATCTCGCACCTCATCTGACACTGCAACGTCTGATCAAGACCCATGGTGCACCCAGGATTTGTTGAGTGTCTGTGGATGCTTTCTACACGGCTCGCAGCTAAAGACATGCTGATTCTGTGCAAGCGGAGGAACGAATTCAGTCCACGTGCCAGCAGCGCAAGTAGCCTTTGTGCTTCGAACCTCCAGATGTGAAGGACACGCCAAATCGCCCTGAAGTTGTATATGCCTGGCGACGGAAAGTATCCTAATACTTCGATTTACTTAAAACCGCTGTGGGGCTAGATACTTCAATTCAACTAAAACCCCTCTGGAGCTGGTTTGGAGAAGAAGTCGAAATCAAACAATCCCACTGAAGAGCTTGCTTCAATTAATACTCTAGAAGTCATCCCGATCACCACTAACCAAAGTGTGGATAACCCGTTCGGCTTCTTCGACAAGCGCAAGCCACCAGCCCCGATCCATCAATATCTTTGGAGGCTACCGCTTCTACCGTAGCATCAGTCCCACACCTCGCTCCCCTCACATGCAAAAAGCCAGAATATTGGCCTGCCGTGGCGATACAGGCCATGCAGACTGCTGGGAACCAGCTGGCTGCTTGGAGACCTGCAACAACTTCGCAGGCTCCAGATGAAGCCTCGGCCCAGTGGATGAGGCCTCCGCGCGTCGCAACCACGCACTCAGGGCTGCCAAGGTCTGCTGCCGGAGCTCTTCAGCCAACTGACCTGGAAGTTGGGCCGCCGCACCGCACTCGGGTTACTGCAGGCATCAGCTAAGCAAAGCATGTGCATGCTATGCCGCTATGCTATCACCAAGAGCATACAGCCGCTGGAACAACTTCAAGGAAGGTCGATGGTGTTTGCTGCTGTATGTCACAGCTGAGTGCACAGCTTCGCTCTGGGTCGTCATCCTTAAAGCTACCAGATGCTACAAAACTATACTCCGAGGAAGCTGCACAGCATCCATCACCAAAGCATGCAGGTGGCTTGCAGATTAGTTTCAAGGATGGCATCACCAAGGTCTTCTTGAATTTCTGCCGAAGGCAACTTTTCCGGAAATGGTGCGCCAGCTTGAGCAATGCGGGTGCTCAGTTTCCTCAGAGACTCAGAGATCGAGGCAATCAAACCGCAGCAACCACGGCAACTACGAATCATAGCACGTGCATGCATGAAATCTTGCTTGATTCCCTGCAAAGCATCCGTTTTCTTACCATCCTGATGGCATGTGTCGCATCCCGTGTGCCGGTTCGTCGCGATCACGGACTGCAGGTGCACATGCAGCCCACAGACTTCCATCTGCGCCACACTATGCGGAACGACTGACCCCTCGAGTGACAAGCCAACCATGTGTTTGTCGAGTCTAAAACTCTAGTGACATGGTAGTGTTTACACCTGGACGCCCGGAATCCATGGCGTGATGCATCTAACCATGCCCGTGAGCCAAATGAGCCAAATGCTGAGCAGCGAAACGCTTAATGTCAAAACCTCGGAAAGACCAAATGATTTAGCGGACGCCCTGCCTCCCCGTGCTGCACACGCAAACACACCCAAACACTTTGGCCCCGTGCCCCGTTCATGTCCCTCTTCGACGTACGCACCAAGTGCGTATTGGCAACTATTGACAACTGTTTGCCTGAAAATGGCAGCTGCGTTGTGCAGCGCTCGTGTGCACTACGCCGCCGAATGCAAGCAAGCTGCTTGCGACGGCAACTCTCGAAACCCAAGCGCAGGGCTGCATTACTTGCATGTCTTCTCCGCTCGGCTGTCGAAGTCCTGCGCCTCGTGCTGCCGGCTTCATTCACGCCCTTAACCAGGTCATCGTGCGCCGGATCGTCCGCGTTCGTCCGGGGATAATGCCACGCGTGCGGCTTGAGCACTCGTCAATCTCCTGCACCGCAGCAGAACGCACGTGCACCTTTCGCAGGAAGTGCGCAGAAGAGGAGCAAACTGAGAGGCAGCGTCCTTTTTCTTTGCCCGGCTTCAGCGGCATTCTCTTGGCCTGCTGCAAGACAGTGCAAGCACAAATTTGTTGTGATATCTTGCATGCCTCCCTTGTGCAAGCTGGCAGATGCCAGCTTGCCGGATGGATCTCGTCGTCACTTCCACCGTCTGGGCGCATGGGGATCATGCATGCAGAATGACCTGTAAATCGTAGTGTGACCGTAACCCATTGTAACACACGTCTGCAACTGTCCGCAGCACTGTCCTGCGTAATCTGCTGCGCCATACCCGTCCCCATCGGACCTCTAAAAGCAGAGTCAGGCCGAATAATCAGCATCTCAAGTCGTGCTGAGGAGTGTACAGTGGGCCAAGCCTGCAATCAGTTGGAACAAAAATGCCCGGGGAGCCCTGTCTCAGCTCGTGACTGTGCAACCCTTTTGGACAAGTCTAGCGGGAATGCCTGGATCGTAAGTCCAACAGCTCGGCGCAGCTCGGATTCTGCAGCAATCCATTCCTTCTGAGTTCAAGGAGGCTGATCTTCTCTTCCCACTTCGCCACCTCTGTGACTTCGGAGCACTGGACTAAGGCCTTTGCTCAGCAAACGCAATAGCGACGTCATGCATGCCGACCTTAACACCACCACGCAAACCGACACTGACAGACCTTAGACCTTGCGAACTGCAGGGGGCCTCGACGGCACAGCTTGCACCTCTCCATGACGACCTCAAGGGCCGATTCCGCGAGGGTCAGGGTGCCGAGGCAGCGCAGAAGTTCTGAGAAGTCTTTGTTGCTCAAAGGGCCTTACTTGGAGTGGCTCGGATCATATCGCAAGGCCTTGGCAGACGGGCAGTAGATGGCAGTGAGCATGCAGAAAGACTTGCAAACGAAAGGCTTGCAGACTAAGCTCGAAGCAGCATGGCATCTGTCGATTGCCTGGACAAGCTCAGCATGCTCGCATCTGTCTCCTGCACGGAGGTGACAGCTATGTCCATGGCCTCCAGCCATCTTTTCTGCTTCATCAGGGCCTGCACTGCTTCGGAAACTGAGGCAGCGATCCAGAGGGCACAGGTCCTTCCTGTGCGCTGTTTGAATGAAGAGCTGCTGCCAGTTGCTTGACCGACGAGGCATCGCCTCACAGGCAGACTGCTGGCTGACAGGCAGTGACAGAACCCAAGTTTCAGAAGGCGCTACAGCAAAGCTAGAAGGCTGCATACAGCAGTCGTTTCGTCACTTTCAATGAGTGCTAGACCCCTTCCAGGCTCCAAGAGGGCATCCAGATCCCGTAAAGCCTGCCGAGGCTGATATTGTTCAACCTACCGGCTTTCGAGCTGTTTTGGCCTCTGCATAGATGCACAGCGCACCTGAAACACAACGGAATGGCCATGTTCATGCCACGGCAACTCGATTTCGACTCTCACACTCGCGCAAGGCCGGCAAGGCTCTGCATAGTTCTGTCTCCGCTGCATGCTACAGAAGAGAGAAAGAAAGAGAGAGAGAGAGGGAGGGAGAGAGAGAGAGAGAGAGACGAGGGTCACCAGGACAAAAAGAGGCAACAGTCAAACAAGATAACCAGCGAGTTTAAGGATGCTTGCTTTGCACGCGCCTTCAAAGTCTTTGGCAGCAAGCTTCCGGTTGCCTCTCTCCTTCTGGAAACACTTGGCTGCTCCATGAAAGGCTGCCTCACAGCGGGCTCCTTGAGCTCCGTCACGTGGGCACAAGCTTCCTTTCGAGCACCGGGACCCGGGGCGCTCGACTTAACCCATCAGGGTCGGGTTCTGCAGGCCGAGCATCTTGGATCGAGTGCGAGCCGTCTTTGGACGCCATGATGCTTCAAGTTGGCAACTGCTGACTAGCTTTGACACCCGGCTGTAGACATCTGTAGACCGATTCAGTGTGGACGTCTTCCAACAAAAGCAGAGCCGCTCAAGCTCCGAAGCCCTGTCCGCTGGTCCGTCAGAGCACTGGCAAGCGCAGCGATTGGTAGGACAAAACGTTCACTCTTGATCTCTTGACAGCCGCTGTGATCTTTTTCTTTGCTGCTTCATCCCGCTCTCTCCGCCAGCCTTGGCCTCACGACAGCATTTGATAGTGCCCTCCGCCGTGCGTTTGGAAAACGCGAATGGCATCGCCCCTGCGCCCAGAACACCAGAGTGCTGATTTATGGCCGGGTGTGACTCAGCAATGAAATGTGGCGCTGGGGGCGGACTGCACAAATTTTGAGAATCGTTTCGGCAATGTCTTCGGGTCTCCGTGTCAGTGCATTCCTGTTTTCAGCCTCCTCTATGTTCTCAGGGTGCAACCGCAGTTTAGCACAAATCTCAGAGCCAAATGCACTTGTCTACGGCCCGGCCTGGCTTCTGCATAGCATGTGGCTTCGAAGTACGGAAGGATCTGCATGCGATGCATTCCAGGCAAACGCGAAACCATCTCCGCAAATCCAAATCCTGTTGTCTCTGATCTCTGGGCCTTCCATTCGTCACCATCTGCCTACGCAGCAGGTCTGGGAAGAGAAGCTTGCTTCGACTGCCGGCCGATCCTGCTCAAGCTTGACCTCATCTTGCGAGACCTGAATGCCAAGATTGTTGGGCACATGCCTGCTGCATGCGTTGGACCGTAGCAACAGTATGGCCTAACAGCAGGCTAGTTTGGACCGACAGTGTGTCAAATCTTTTTCCAGACCTGCTCTTCTCGTTGCTTGTCGGCTTGAACCTCTGCGCAGGCCCTTGAAATCTGGGCATATCCCGGCAAGCCGCTGGCAGCCTGATGCACCCTGCAGCTCCCTGAAGCTACCGCAACACTAGAATGTCGAGGAGGCACGGGCAAAGACTACGCAACTGACCACTGGCAGCTGCATGTCGGCGCGGGCAGCTGCTCGCTACTTTACCGGGATCTGTGCATCCCAAGTCAGAAGAGCACACAAGAGGCCACACTAAGGTGAGATGGATAGTCGCTGGCCAAGGCTCTGCCACTATAAGTGTGCAAAGCAGCCTGTCCTATGCTGGCAACAAACACTGCTCACTGCATCAGCGGGGCTGACTTTAAGCATAGATGCACCCCGGGATACAAGGCAACGGTGAAAGGTTCTCAGTCTCTGCCACTTCAAGGATACGACTTAGCGGTGCTGAGCGCTTGGTCTAGCTTTGATGCATCTCCCTGACCTTGTGCACGGTCGTCCTGTCCAAGACTCATCTTCTTAGGCATTGCATCCTCCCTTGCTTTGCTAGGCATGTGCTGGCGCCTTTCCGCCGCCCTTGCCGCCGATGGCGTCTAAGACCTGCCGAACGCGCAAAGCCTTGCAGAGTCTGTCCTGCAAGGCAAACACGTGGCCTTGCCGGACCAGATTTTCGCCGAGAGCTTGCCAGCCAATGCTTTGGGCACGACGGCCAGAATTGCGAGCTTTCCACCCATGTTGCTCATCAGCATTATTGCCTCGTGCATTCGACGTGGCGGAGCTTCACAGTGACGTGCTTGCTTACATGCCTGCGGCAAACAATGCTCTGACCTGCCTTGCTTGGGCACTGCTTGATTGCCGCCTCCATCGCTGGTGTTAGGACCTTTGCGTCATCGCAGCCTGCGCCTGCTTGCACGACACCCACGAAGGTCTCGCCAGATGCTGCTGCGGCTTCCTTGCCTGAGCACTGCAATCAAGGCCCCACGAAACTATCAGAAGCCTTTGAGAAGTGTTCCATGGCTGAGGCCAGATGCCCAGCTTCTCGCCGTCTTCCTTGGCCTTGCCTTCGAACTTCTTCGTTTCGGCCTTGCCCGCTTTGAGGGAGCCCTTCGCCCTTAGCTTCCGTGAACACGAGCAGGCGCTGATCGTGATCCCACGCTACACAGAAACGCGGGCGGGCTGCAAAGTTTCAAGTTCCGTCATGATGTCGGACTTCATGAGCAAGGACACCTCTTTATCCTGTATAATTTCGTGAGAGAGCACGGCAGCCTTGATCCACAAAGTTTCCATCCCTAACGACAACATGACGGTCCTCTGTGACTCTTCGGCGTAAATCGCCAATGCATTTGTCAAGCTCTGCACCAGGAGACATGCCCTTGAAGCCGTCCAAATCCGAACCTGCACACTCAAAGCCCTTGGGAAATCCACCATGCCGCTAGAGAAGGCTCGTGATAAGAGGATGCTGACCAGGAGCTCAGGCTCTTCGCCTTGAGGGTCGCCTCCACAGCTGCTTGAGGTCCTGGTCTTTTCCCCCATTTTCTCAGGTCTTGGCTCGCAGAGGCCCCGGGCCAGGCCTGTGACTGCAACAATGCGCCGAATGCCTTTCGCGATACCCTCCTCCTGGAGCAAGACGAACTTGTAAATCTCCTGCGAAAGGAGGCGACCCTTTCCGACACGTGGCCTGCTCGCCCCCATCCCCCATGAGCAGAAGAGCAGAAGGCTCTGAGGACACGTTGTCCAGAAATCGAGCTAACAGCTCTCTTTACCTCTGCCCGCGACCCTTGTGACTTGTCTGTCGCCGGTCTCTGCGACCTCTGCACCTTCCCTGCAGTGGTTCTGGCCAAGCACGGCGAAACGGCGAAACCAATTCGAGACCAGAGACCAGGGGCCTTCAGAGCCTTGCGCCTCTGCTCAGCCCGACGACATGGGACGCAGAGCAGCGCAGATCCCTGCTGACCGCGGACGGAGATACCAACAGACGCTAACAGACACACACAGACGGACGGACAGAGCAAGTGAAGCGACCGCAACTGTGACATGCAGGCCGGGCCGGCACAGGCAGCCGAGCCTTCCTGCATGCCTAAGAGATTTTGGTCAAGCAACATCGCGGCCACCACCAGCACCACCCTCAACACATCTCTTGGCGCTAGCACCTGCACACCAGCCCCACCACCGCCAACGTCATCACAATTTCCATCGACATCCCCCATCCTTGCCATCATGAAATATCATGAATGGCAGTGGAAACCGCAGCAGCAGCAGCAGCAGCAGCAGCATCTCTTAAATCAGCATCTGCTGTCGGTCCTTGCTGTTGGCCACGTGCGTACCACCACAGAACTCCACGCTGTTTTGCAAGCCCCATGGAGTCTTTTTGTCAGTAAGCAGATCGTCAATCTTCGGACCAACGCTCACGACTCGGACAGGATCCGGGTAGGTTTCGCCGAACACCGCTCCTTGGTGCAGCTAAATGGCTTTCTGCAAGGCTCTGACAAGTCGGGAATGCCTCGGATCTTAGCATGCCGAGCTGCTGAGTCCAGAAATGGCCTTTGCGGTGTCCAAAGCAACATCGCGATAATGCACGACGCAAGCTTTCTGCACCATCTGATTGCAAATTTCCTCGATCTTTTTCAGCTCCTCTGGCTCCACTGGCTTATTGTGGGAGAAGTCGAATCGCAACTTGTCCTCTGTAACCAGCGAACCTTTCTGATCGACCTTCTCGCCCAGGATTTGACGAAGCGCAAAATTCAAGATGTGTGTTGCTGTGTGGTTCTTTGCCACCAACGATCTTCGAGTGTAATCGACCTGGAGAAGGGGCCGAAGACGATGAATTTTAGCAGTTCGCTCGAAGACCCAGCTGTCTAGAAACCTGGCCCTCGTTGAAACTATGGCAGGAACGGGACAAGGGCCGCCTAGGTGGGTTTTCGTAGTTGATATTCTGGCATCAACGATGTTCCTCTTCCACCGCTGCCACAAGTAAAACCTGCAACACAAAACCGATGGACCTGTGCCGAGGTCATTCAACACAAACCAGGACAAAATGCAAGAACAGGCTGCAAATCACCAACCAACATGATTCAAAATACTAGTACGAATCACCCTCGAGCACCGAATATAAAAGAGGTCCCCGGAGCCAGGCAGCCCCGCGTACAGGCCGTGAATAGTAGTACGGCGATGGAAAGAAGAGCAGGCAAACAATGCACAATGTTCCGGAAAATTCCAAACAAACAGAATGAGCAACATCCAGAAAGTTAAGGATAAGGAATACTGCATGAGTAACAATTGATCCTTCGAGTTGTTTGTCGTACCATTCCCGAGGATTAGAAGTCACGGTGCGGAAGGCAACAACTCGCCGTGCTTTGATATCTGCAAGCTGTTCGGCTGTGGTCAAGGTTTGATGGCCAGGCACCTTCACGCTTACTTCATCGCCGACTTTCAAGTCGCCCTTGCTCTCGACCTGCCCGACATGGAGGACATAGCCAGCCTGAGTTGGATGTGCAGTTGCTTGTGCCGTTCCGTCCACCGCAAGTCTGCCTGTCTGTGTGTGTGTGTGTGCCTGTGTTTGCTCAACCCGAACTACGACTACGAAACGAACTTTATCCGAGTAAGGCATGGTGTTTTTAAGAGGGGATGATTGGCAGGGATGTACATGGGCACTTTCGTGCTGTGCAAACACACCTGTGCAACACTTGTCTAGTCTTTCTTGCCACCCTTCTTTCATCCTTGTATGTCTTTGCCAAGTATGAGGTGCAACCTTTGCCGCTTCAGCTTAGGTCTGAGGTATCAGGCGATCCCTGGCTACGGAAGCGAAGCAGCCCGCCGACACGCCTAACTCGTTCTGCCTTCGTTTGGCCGCACTGCTGCATCTGGGATCAGGCAACTTCGGTGTCCCGAGTACGTGAGTAAGTAAGTCGGCCAGTAAGTAGGAGAATGAGTAAGCAAGTGCCAGAGTGAGAGAGTGACATGCATGTTTCATCATGTTGTGGTCTGCCTGGCTTGCTGGTGGGCTGCATACATGCATGCAGGCATGGTTGGTTGGTTGGCTGGCTGGTTGAGTTCAGTAGCGGTTGCACAGCATCCGGACATGCGGTATGGGTCGCCAGCGCACTGTCCCTGCTGAAATGCACGTGTAGCCCAGGCACGTATTTCTGCGTGTTGTCTACGCTGAACTCAACACTGCCACAGGTGATCGAAGCCTTGCTCTCGGGCAGTAAAGCAAGACCAGGCAGGAACAGCTCTCCAATTCGTGCCCTAAACCCCACTACGCGGGCCTTGTCGAAAGTTTGTCCACCCTGCTCCGCATACAGAGGGGTCCGGTCCAGCACGAGGCCAACTACATCGGAGCCGCTGTTGCAGGTCTTCACGAAATCCTCCCAAGCAGAGCGTGAAGAACCTACATTCACAACGCACACTCTGATGCGGCAGTTCTTGGACAACCCTCACAGCTTCAAATATTAGCCAAAGCTATTTTTCAATTACTACTAATTACTACCGCCCTGTAAGGCGTTTGACTTTCTCTGCCTCTCCATTGTAAATTGCTTGGATCTTGGCCTTGTGCTCGCTGCCATCGCCCTGCGGGGGCTAGAGCCGGAGTCGCAGTTTGGCAGAATCATGTGGTATCTGGAGAAGCAGCAAAGCATCTTCAGACAGTAGTACTGTAGTAGTACTTAGTAGCAGCGTAGCTACGAGTGGTCGCAGTACCCTCCCCCCCACGGTGTCCAGCCCGTGGCCTCGGTGTTCCAATCGTACTTGAGTATATCATCGGTGGGCTTCAAGCTCATGCCTTTGATGAGCTTGTCTGTTTCATTGGCCTTCAGCTCCATGTCCTCAGGGCGGAACGAATCAGAACCCTAAGCGTGTGTGTGAGCCAACATCGGCCAACAGCACGAGCACCGCCCCGCGGGCATTCTCGGCCTTCGTCGTTCTGGCAGTTTTTCGCTTCCTGGACTCGTCCCGGAACTGCTCCATCTTCTTTTCAAAGCCGGGCATGTCCACTTCGACCTTCAGCTCTTCGCCCATCAACTGCGTCAGATCCACTGGGAAGCCATATGTCGTGAAGAGCAAGAAAGCATCTTCGCCTGTAATGGAGCCCTTCTTGGCAAAGGTCTTGAACTGCTTGATTCCTCGGTCCAGCGTTCTTCCGAATTGCGCTTCCTCTTCCCTGATAATCGCCCTCACATCTTCTGGATTTTGTCGCAGGGTCGGGAACGCATCGCCCAGTGTTTCGAGGACGGAGTCAACTAGCTGGTGGAAGAAGCCTGGTGGAGCATCCAGGATCTCGCGCCCGAATCGGACGGCACGTCGGAGAATACGCCGTAAAACATAGCCTCGACCTTCGTTCGAGGGAGTTGCACCGTCGGTCAGCGCAATTGTGAGAGTCCTGATGTGGTCTGCAATGACACGGTAGGCCATGTCAACGTGATCCTTGTCCTCTTCACCAACCTTTCCAGTGTAGTTCTTTGAAGTTGCAGTCTTCTCCTTGATGGCCTTGAAGATATGCATGAAGAGGTCTGTGTCATAGTTGCTTCGAACATCAAGAAGGACAGAGGTAACACGCTCAAGGCCCATTCCCGTGTCAACGCTTTTCGCTGGCAGCTCGATGAGGCTTCCGCCCTCTTTTCGCTCGAATTGCATGAAGACCAGGTTCCAAATCTCAAGCACATCCGGGTCGTCCATGTTCACCAAGCTGGCAGCATCTCGTCCACCAATCCTGTCATAGTGGATTTCGGAACACGGCCCACAGGGTCCGGTGTCACCCATCTCCCAGAAGTTGTCCTTCATGTTGAAAGGCAGAATTCGCTCTGCCGGCAGGTATCGCAACCAAATCTTCTTTGCCTCTTCGTCAGAAGGCACGGATGGCTGCTTGGGGTCGCCGCCATAATAGGTCGCATAAAGCCGGCTAGGATCAAGGTGGTAGACTTCTGTTAGGAGCTCCCAGGCCCATGTAATGGCCTCTTCCTTGAAGTAGTTGCCGAAAGACCAGTTGCCAAGCATCTCGAAGAAAGTGTGGTGGTAGACATCCTTGCCTACGTCCTCCAAGTCGTTGTGCTTGCCACCTGCTCGAATGCACTTCTGCGAGTTCGCCGCTCGCTTCAGCTTTGCAAAGGGATGGCTCGGATCAACTTGGCCCACGAAGATGGGCTTGAACTGATTCATGCCTGCAGCATATCATCTAACACTTCAGTGTTACAGACTACAGCTGCGAAAAGCGCTCTCCGCCAACCCTGCCTGCGTTAATAAACAGAAGAGTTGGGTCGTTGTGAGGCACGACCGGGGAGGAAGCGATGAAATCATGCTGTTTTGACTTGAAGAAGTTCACGAAGGTGTCGCGGACTTCCTGCAAGAGCTAGGCATGAGCGCTGCTTGCACTTACGGTATCATGGCGACATGTGGAGGGCATGTGCCTGAGCTGTCGTGAACTCGCCACTGCCCGGGCCCTTGCCACCTGCAGGAAGCAGTGACTACGCAAGGGTTTGCAGTGTTGGCACAGCTACTCCTGTCGCACCTGTCTTCGGCTTAGCTGCTGAGGAGCCGTTTTTGCCGAACTCCTTCTCTTCCGGCGATGTTAAAATCGATGTCACGTTGGTCACCGGCTGGAGGCCAATCGACGACAGGTAGCCATGGTTTGATGCCATGGCTCCTTGCACTCCTCAGCTGACGAGAAATTTCACCTTGGGTGGAATAGGAACCCCCCTCGTGCGAAGCTTGCAAGCCAGGCAGCTATAGAATGAGTCTGCACTGGTGCGTCCAGCACGAAGGACACAACAAAACTTGAGCCGCGCGGCTGCAGATGCTCGCGGCTTGCAGCATGTTGCAATGCATGCTGCTCCGGGACCCCAGACATTGCAAAGCTGTGCCATAAAGTATGCACAAGCTTGGCTCTCCATCGGCCCACTTATTTTCCCCCGTGATCTCATCTGCATTCGCCGAGAAAGGAGACCTGAAATGTGGTTGAGGCTCATAATTAAACGAGAAAGCATGCGGAAGCTGTGGCGGCCTGTGGCAGAAGATGCCAGCTCCTGTCCCAGGTAGAGTGCACTGTCTCGTGGTCGTGCTTTGTCCACTGCGCTCAGCGCAGCCTCAATTGCAGAGTGGCCAGACAAACCACTAGCAAGAAAGCAGCGATCAGCAAATTTCGCCAAGAAACGTGCAAGGTGACGCAATTCTGGCGCACTGCGCAATTCCTTTCTGTATGCGAAAGCAGGCAGCACCCGACAACAAAGTCCGGCGGTAGCAATCACACTTGACTTAGGTGGGTCCACCACACAAGATCTGCTTTGATACGGACCGCTTGGAGAACTGGGGAAGGTCTCAGGGTCAACACAGCCGGTCGTAACAGACCGCTAGCAACCGGGACTGGCAGACCGAAGTGCCTCTGTTTGATGTTTCTGAGATCAGGTGCCCTGTTGCAAATGTTCATGCTAAGTGCAAACATGCAAGACACACTTGCTTTCCCGCTCCATTTAATCCGCACAATCCTTCTTCTCTGGCTGCTCCAGATGCTAGATCTCTTCCACTGTGTGGCATGGGCTTTCTGTCATACGGCTGGTGGCATCTTGCTGTTGCATCGGGCCATGCGTTTGGCGAGCGAGCTCGGTGCTTAAGCCGAGGCTCTGCATGAAGGCCATCAAAGTGAGAACGGTCTGCCAGCATGTGGAAGCTTGGCACGCGTGCATAGCTGCCGTACCTTTGGCGACAACCACTGGGCAACTCTACAGCCGCATCGGTGCCCGAGCATATCTTAACATCCGCTGCGGGACAAATGAGAACATTCGGCGCAATGCGCTGCGCGATGGTGTGTGAAATCGATGTAGTGAGCTGCAGCGCGTTGGCCCAGCCTTGGATCGTGAAAACAAGCACCGAAAGCAACCTCCAGCTGCCATCGTTCTCCGAGCTCCCGACGGCCTGCAAGATCAGTTGCACTGACAGCAGCGCCGAAAGAGATGACGTCCGGTGCCCATCTTTTCGAAGATATGCTGGCCTCGCATGGACAAATGAAACGAGGGTAAGAAGCTTCAGTGCCATACTGTACCGCATCAAACTTGAGTCGAGCACAGAGACATTAGCTTTAGGTTTGCACCGCTTGGCTGCATCAATGGGATTACCGGCGCCAGCTCGCCGCTACGACGTTTGTGAGATCAGTCTGTAAAGCAGGTCAAGTTTGACGAAATACGCCATTTAAGCATCGGAAGTCCGAGTATGCTCGAGCAAACTGCGCCACCACGCCGTTGAAATTCTTCTGAACATCAGCTCACTGTGCTTACCGCACACCAACAACTTGACAACAGACCTACTTCTGGTAGCCGGCCAAAACCCATCCCCCGCCATCGCCTTGCGCTGACCCGAAGGTACAATTCGGCACTAGCTCATGCGCCGAAACTTGAGAACCCGCACGTACCGCGCACCAAGACTACAGCCACGAGACACACCCCGCCGCGGGGGAGCACATTATGCAAGGCGAAGGAGAATGTCTGGCGCGCTTTGATAAGTCTTTGTGCAGCGACAGCACTCCTTAAGAAATCATTGGTTTAAGAAATTGCGCCCCTCGGGCAGCTGTGCGACAACAAAATCAGCAAAACCAAGCACAAATTGAAAAGAAGAAATTCGAGTACCCTGACCTCGGCATACCAATTTCTTATTTTGCTCTTCTCGATCTTTCTTCGCTTGCTTTCTTCGCTCAAAAAGCACCGAATCAAGACACTGAGGGGCTGGATTCGGTATTCCCAATAGAGGCATGCAAAAACACCCAAGAGAAGTTTTGCCTCCTACCTAGAAGGGACGAGCCCGCATTGCGGGGTAACTCGGAATCATGCCCGCAGCCTTTGTCACCCGACCATGCGCTTGCCCACTGAGCTACAGCATTCTTGAGAACTCAAGGGTTCGAGACCTCATTCCTGCTCCTCAACTGCTTGATTCGCTGCTTCTGTGCTTAGGCTTCATTAGGCCCTAAGAACAGCTTTGAAGGGGCTCTAGAGTCTCCAAAAACGTTCAATAAAAGCTTCATGTGGCCCTGTCAATAAGGAAAAGCCAAAATGAGAAATTGAGGTGCTCGATTTCTTAAATCTAAGAAATTGACGGGTTGAACTTCATTTTCAGGTGGCTTATCGTAAGGGGTGAATACAGGACGGAGCATGGCTTCGTGGACTTTCTAAGGATGCCATGCCGGAGTGGTCAAGCGCATAGCCGGGGACGCTGCGGGCTCGAATCCCGCAGTCGTTTTTGTGTGCGCCTCCTTTGTTGGAATTCTGATTGGCTACTCTTGGAGCCCTTTCAAATTCAGAGATTTGGGTTAAGAAATCCAGGGTACAATTGAATCCGGAAACGCTTGAAAATTCAGACATCGAGGGTCTCCTCGCGACAAATAAGCTGTTTCTTAAGCCGTGCTGTCCCTGTAGCTGGCGCTGTGTATGTGACCGTTCATGACCTAGGCACGACACACACATTGACAAATCTGTGCTAGATGCAATCAGTCGCGATGGCAGCTTATGTGCAATATGCAACCGTCCAGCCAAGTTGCAAAAAGCCAGCATGCCCAAGTCCAGCATCCGCTCTTCTCCTGTGGCCCCTAAGCTGTTGTGGCCTAAGGCTTGAGGCCTAAAAGCCAAATTCTAGGAGCCTACATCCTAAACCCTCTCTCTCTCTGAACATTCTGAACCCTAAAGCCCAACACTCCAAACCCTGTTTTGGCATCCAGGCCTCAATGGGCCTTGCTGGGCTCCGATGCGGGCACGCAACAAAGTCACAAAAAGCGTATCCCACAAACACGACACAAAAAGACGGTGGCAGCACTTCTACACCCAAGCCCTAAAGCCCCAACCCTGAACCCCAAAACCCGAAACCCGTGTTGGGGCATCCTGGGCACTGATCGCCGAGTTGTAACCGATAAGGTCTTGCTGGCAGGTGCTCCACTGCATCGCCCCCCTGTGCCAGACACTGCTGAGCGACAGACGAGACTAGACATGGGCACACTTCTAGCTCTCTGAAGGACTAGAGACACAGACACTATAAAACTTTGTATCTGAAGTCGTGTATGCACTGATGCGGATTGCGACGCCAATATTCACAACATAAACACTGAAGCAGCAGCACCTTCATACCTAACATGGCACAGCCTGAACAAAACAAAACATGACATATCATGACATGACATTAAAAAGATTGCACGATGCAAAACAACACAACACAGCGTAGTGCAGTGTCACGATTGACCTGATCGGACATGACCTGACCTGACACGACATAACTTAACATAACATGACATAACGGAACAGAACAGCACAGAGAAGAACATGCCATAAAAGACCAATACACGTGCCAACTTTGCTCACCTATGTATCTGCCTATCTGCACACACTTGTGGGATTTAGGCAAGAGCAAGACGCAAGAAGAAAAGAAGAGTGAGGCAGGGTTGATATTTGCTGTGTCACAGACGCAACGGTTACCGATGGCTGGCAAATGCTGTAACCTTCTTGGGGACAACAGCGAAGATAATCAATGCACAGCGGCAGTGCTAGATTCTAGATGCTTCTTTACCTTCAGCATCACGTGCAGGTACACCAGAGTAGCCAACTCTGGCTTCCCCCATCATACCATAGCTTTGTTGCGTCCGGTGTCAGGTAGGTATGATGGGCCTGACGCCCCTGCAATGCGAAAAAGCAGACCAATGCAGGAGTGACCCTCTTTTCCCATGTGCTAGGGAAGTTCACACACACACACACTCTCTCTCTCTCTCTCTCTCTCTCACACACACACACACACACAGGCACGCACACGCACTTCCGCGTACACACCCGCGCAAAAGATCAAAACACACACAGACTTTACAGTTAACTTGCACATACTCCGAAACAAGACCAGGGCGCAGCATCTGCAGGGCCCAGTCCCAGCGTTGCGACCGCTCGCAGCTAAAAATGAAGGAATTCAACGAGACCATGGTGGCGCGGATGCCCTGGCTCTGCAGCAAAACCTCGGCTTGTCTTATTATGGGCCTGGAAACTGTATGTTCAAGGCTCGCAGAAAGAATGTGCCGACACAGCTGTTCCGATGCAAGTGCCGTGGGCGGGCTCACAAGAGTGTTCTGCAGACCTGCATCCAGCGAGCAAGAATGCCCATGGACATTCTCCAACGTTGAACTTTCTCGCCTCGCGCCAGAGTCCATGCAGCAGGCATTGCATCTCTCAAGTTCATTTCAGCCCATGTGCCAAGAGCCGCACATGCAGCCAGAAGAGCGTTATGAGAGATGGTCGTCGGCTGGATTCGCAAAGTGGGAGCTCCAAACAGCAGAGATGACGCCCTGCAGGGTCGGGATTTCCCGCACCTACTTGTCGTAGAAAGCACACTAAGTCACTCAATGGTCAGCAACGCAGCACTCTCAGTGAGGATCCTCTCCCAGCATGAAGCACGATCGCAAGCACTGAGGGCGGCATTGCAGGCAACCACAGAAGTACCTCCATGCTTTCTGCATAGGAGCGCGGTCGCCCACTGGTGGCTGCAAGCACCTGAAACGATTCGCTCTTCTAAAAACACAGATAAGCATCTTGCTCAATGGCAGACAATAAACAAGCGACAAGACAACAAGTATGGAAGAATGGAAGCCGAATCACTGATTACAGCGCAGAGAGACACAATGTCAGATCTGATGCCATTAATCTGCATCTGGATCCACGTCCAAAGTGCTTGTTGCCAGATTCCTGACTTTTCGGTAGCAGTGATGGCCGAGCTGATCGTGATCAAGTGCTGCCGGATGCCCCGCCGTGCAGCCTGCGTGCTTATGTTTCAAATCATCGTTTCAGCTGCGCAGCTTCCCCACCCTCGTACATGCTGGCCAGCTCTCCAAGCCTGCTGCAACAGCGACAGGCTCCCAACCCAGCGACCAGCACGTCGCAGCGCGTTGGCCATGCCACTCCGAGAGAAAGGGTCCAGCTCAGCCTGTGCTTGTACCGCTCAATCGCATGCAAGCAACGCAAGGGCAATCGCGAACTTTTCAACGGATTAACCATGCCCGGGGACGCCGGCAGTCCGTGCCAGCTCGAGAATCGAGAAGACTCCCTCCCAATGACATTGCCTTTCTGAAGCACTGGCCATGCTGTTGAAAGACACGATGCCCTGGGTTTGCATGCAGGGCGAGAACTTGCCTGCCACTCATGCAGGTCAGAGAGTACCAGACATGGGTACAAGCTATACAGAAAAAAGCTAGGTGTCTGGTTTGAGTAGAGTCGGCGACTCGAGCAACGACAGTGCCACAGGCCAGGTAGAAATTGGACCTAAGACCAGGTCGCAGAGCTGATCTCTACTCAAGACATCTCACGACTACATGGAATGGCTCTTCGGTGGGCTCTTTGCTGCCGTCGCACTTTCGATCCCAAAGGCATTGAGGGCGATGTTGCTCTGGACAAGACTGGCTTCGAGCCTCTTCAACCTCACCTTGCAGGAAGCTCATGCTCAGGGCTTACAACCAGTCCTTCTGGATCATGGCAGCTTGAAAAACCTGGGTGGCTGTTGATTTCAAACAGCTCAACGGAGACTCGGCCTCGTAAAGCAATGCCAAACATGCTTTCCATTCCCGTGCTGTGCTGCAACTCTGCAGCAGGCCATGATGGCCAACTCCCGTCCAGCTGGCCTCAGATCCCGTTGACAAACCGACAAACGTACCAGTAGCTCCTGGGCGTGTGATCGTCGTTAGGGACAAACCACACGAGAGCGGATGCAAAGCCCTCGCGCCATCTATTCACCTGCATAGCACCCTTTCTGAATATGTCGCTGTCGCCCGAAAAACATAGCCAAATCGAGTCGGTAACTCGGATCCCCTACCACTAGAGTCACGAGAGAGCTGAGACAGGCGAGAGCCACCAAAACCGCACTATGCACAATCAGAGTATATGTTCAAAACATGTTGACGCTCGGAAGAGCTAAAAACGAGATCCGAGTGCACGGCTGACTTCTGGAGTACGGCTGCCACCCTCCAAGGAGAGCTCGAGATGGATGGCCTTTCTTGCCTGAAGACATTGGCGTCACGTCTTGCTCGTGGAATGAAGCTGGAAGAGGCCAAGCCGAGCTTGCAAGTAGAGAAACTAAAAGAAGGGCTAAGAAGGGCGGGACTCTTACACCTGCCCTACGGTGTTCTTGCTGACCCTGGGTGCGTTCAGCACACTCCTGCCCGCGACACTGTTGTACTCTTGCTGCGACGAGACACGCTTCGAAGTGCCCAGCACTTGCAGCAACCAGTCGTGCGAGAACTGCGTGCCAAGAGCATCGACGTCCTGATGGCGCCCTCCGTGCCGTGTCCTGGTGACCGGGATGTGTAACGAGCTCAAGGCAGGTATGCACAAAACCCACACGGGACTGCAAACTGCAAGCTGCATCTTGTCCACCTTGGCTGGAGCCTTCAGAGGCTCCACCCGGGCAGCTCCGCAACTTGCCATGAACGTCCATGCTATCGGGCAGGCTGCGCAAGACGGTCTCTGTCTCTCTTCCATGGAAAAACACGGTTTCAAGCTTCGAAGCTTCGCTTGGGGAGCAAGCTTCAGGGCTTGCAGCTCGCAGGTTTGCTCGATAGTCACGGCCGAAACATCCTTGAAGTGCTTGGGCCGCGATTGACAGAGAGCCGAGCCAGCGAAATACTTCTGCCACTTCGCTTTACCCATGCTCAAAAAGCGACTTCCCCTGTCGCCCTGTCGTCCTGCTTTTTCTGGGGCCCCTGCCCAATTATTTCCGTAGGCTTGGACCGGCCGTTGCCTCGAAGGTGAAGATGCGGACTCTCACAACTGTCAGAGAGCACGGGCCCGTGGCAATACGCTGGAGAGAGCTGCCATCTCAGAACCTTGGCATGGCTGTGCAAAAGCTGCAGTAGTCACGTGGACCCTGCGCGAGTAATTCCGAGAGGGCGGCTGCCGGCCCAGTTACCCTCACGACCCGTGGTCTGCAAGTACCTGTGGACGAATTGCTTCTGACCTTGTCCAGCTGGAACACTCGTGGCGGTCACTCGTCCGCATGTAGAAGGACATACTCACAGATCTGGTCGAGGGAGAAGGTCGAGACAACTTCTCGGACCTGACATGCTGCTAGTTTTCCCGAAGATGCGCATGCATGGGTCTGAGTCGACGACACGCGAGTAAAGTGCCTGGCACGGGCAACGGGAAGACAAGTCCGTGTCATGGCTGCGGTGCTTCCAGCAGAAATAGGCCCATGCGATTCTAAGCGGTTGGAGCATCAGTTACGGCAAGCCCTGCACAGCCCAGTTCGTGATACCACACAGGATGTGCAGCTGGCAACTGCACCGTGCGTGAGCCGCGGAGAGTGGCAAGATCCGACATTGAGAGAGGCAAGCGATGTCAAGAGCACCCAGCCTCCCGATTCCACCTTGATGTGCAAAGGACATGCTCACAGGACTCACAGGCTGCTTCCTACAACAAGAGTCTTCAGAATGCCTGTGACTCCGACCCCGGTATGTCCGCTGCAAGCTCGGTCTTGTTACTTGAGATGAACTCCTCTGCCATGTCCTTCTGGGCATCTTGAATGTGTTCCAATGGCTCGCCAACCTTCGTAGCATCTGGCCCTGAGCCGGCGGCAGTGAATAGCTCCCTGGTGCGCCACTCCACATCGGTGGACAATGGCTCGCCACGTGCACGTGCAGCCGCCAACTGCCAGTGGGTACTGGGAAGACGCACAGCTGAACGAAGTGGTTGATGTGAAAAACTGGTTGCATGACATCAGCAGAATTCACAGAGTGACCACAAATCAGCACACATAGCTGCCTCTGCAATGAATTCGCTCTCATCCAGAATGGCCTTGCTGCTTGCAGGGCTTCAATCGTCTGTGATTCAGGAGTCAGGGGCAGACGGATGTTTCGTCTGTTTCTTGTCTAGCATTACTCGTTCTTGGTGGTGGCCCTAAGTCTCTGCAGGCCGTCGAAAGACTCGCAATGCTGCTTTGCCCCAGTGTGAAGCGCGAAGCGGTGAAAGTCACATCACCCGCCAAAAAGTCACAGCATAAGTAGTAAACCGCAGTGTGGCATCACAGCACATCAGACGCTCAATTACCGAGCACCCGCTCGAGACACACATCGGTGGCATCACGGCATATCAAACCCCCCCCCCTAAAGACGCCCGATTCACAAACACCCGCTCGAGGCACAAGTGGCATCGCAATACATCAAAACCTGCCATTCCTCATGTAGACGCTCAATTCCACAAGCGCCCGCTCCAGACGCACGTCGGCAGCATCAAAACGTATCTTCTTCATTTGCACAAGCACCCGCGCGAGAAGCTCATCAGTGGCATCACAACACGTCACAAGCAGGCATTCCGCATGTAGACGCTCGACCCCACGAGCAACCGCTCGAGACACACATAAGTCATCATCCGTAGCATCACAGCACAGAAAAACCAGCCATTCAGCTAGCGGCATCACAACACATCAAAAGCAGCCTGTCCCCATGTAGACGCTCGAGTCCACATGGAACAATCGGATCGTTCACGGATAGAAGCGAATATTTGAAGTGGGTTCCCTATGGATTTTGCCCGGCAAGTCTCACCCAAGCTTCAGCAGAGAAGCCATCCGACGGAGCAGCGAAGCTCTTTCTCGAGGGCCCATATCCTGTCAGAGTCGGCGGCTTTCGTGAGCTCAGGCCCGCAAGGAAGGTGCTCCTCCCATCGATCCGCTAGGTTGTCACCCAATGCTGCTTCCTTGAGCAGTTAGAGCATTTGGAAGGCAGTCTATGACAAGCATGGGCAAGCGAAGACGGGCGCAAGCTGAGGGAAGTTCCCAAGCAGCAGACCTCAAGTTCAGAAGCCTTCTCTCAACTTTCATCTCTTCACGCTAGGATGTCTGACCTGGAAGCGACGTCCTTTACATCCTCGGCTCGTACTTGTAGAGCCATGGAGAGGAAGAGACAGTTGCCTCCAGCACCTCAGGCAAGCAAGCCCTACTTGCTGATTCCTCTGGCAAAGATTTGACTGTCTTTTCCAGCCTACAGCAGAGAACGAAGGAAATTTTGCTGACAACTGACAACAGCATGAATACATGTGCCCAGCGACCCATGTCACGCGGACTCCACCCATAGCACCGCTGCAAGGTGCTGAGGATCTCCTCTGAAGTGGTGATACCACTATTGACCAGTGTGTGTCTCAAGCACATCACATGCGGCGCTGCATCACTGTTTGGGCGTGACGCTGTGGCAAGCTGGCCAGCTGATCGACTTCTCCAGGCTCAAAAGACCCCCTCGATGGCAGGCTTCCACGCGGCACCGAAACGAAAGGCTCGGTTTTGTTTATAGGTTTACAGTTTAAAGACTAAGCGATGTTGGGGATGGAGTTTGAGAGGGAAAAGTGTGTGTTCTGATTCGAGATAGGAGCGCGACTCACCTAGCTGCCCTTTCGTGTGCAACGTTTCTTCTGCCGGGAGCAGTCCCTGTCATTCATGACCTTCGTTTGGCCGCCGTTCTCGACCTGCAAGGTGAGACAGTGCCTCTCAACAGTCCATGGCTGCATTATCTTGCGCCCTTCAAGAGTGCTCGCAATGTTACGCATCGTCTGCTTGGCCAACGGGCATAGCCGCCCCGCCTGGACGGCACGCAAACGGACCTCAAAAAAACACGCATGCACGCCTCTTCACTGCCCTAGCTGACATCTGAATCTGGTATGCGGTATGCGCATTCATCTCCAAGAAAGCTGGAACAACATGCATCCAAGCGATTCGATCGCCGAGGGTCAGACAGATGGGTACCGCAAATGGGCTGGCACCTGGAAGGTCTAACATCGTTTGGACGAGGCACCCGGGCAGGTATCGTCCAAGGTCTGCGCTCTACGGCAAGCTCCTGCTGGATCAATCAAAGAGACGAGCACAACCCGCTCACATGCAATGTGCAGCCCACCTGCAATCAGAAGGCTGGCGGTGACGACAGGTGCTCGCAATGCGGCGTCCCACGTGCCGTGTCTGCCGGCCTCGATGCAATGCGGGCTTGCTCGGGTAGCACTGCCATGGCGAACAGAGTCATCATTGCAGCATTGCGTGGCATACCTGCACATGCACGGCGCTTCCACGCCACGCAGGAACCGCAGACCTTGCAGCCGTGTCGATTGCCGGGTGGTCAAGCAAGTTTTGCAGAAACAGAAGCAGGCTCTGCACAGCACAGCTGACCGTACAGCTTACCCATCTAAGTAGCCGGGCGGTGGGGCTGGTGCAAAGCTTTGCAGGGAGACCTGACTGCTCCGGCCAGCTGGAAGGTGCAGAGCGAAGCTGCAAACTCAGCCCGGCACGCAGCCGGGAAGCAAGTGCATAAGGAAAGCTGGCAGCTGGCTCTTAAAGCTATAGTAGTGTGCGGCTTGCTCCGTCTGTTACATAAAAAGGAGGATGCTTCAATGTTCAAAGCACGGCTCAGGCTCGCAAATCGGCGAAATGGAGGAGATCATGGAGATGATTGAGTCTCAGCTGTCTTGCATGCTCCAAGTTCCTGGTGCCCGTCGTCATCATGAGGCATGCGGATAGTGGCCTTGAGCGATCACCGTCCCAATGCAGAACCACCAACAGGAACCTCCGTGCAGAGTGACCAGGAAAGATGAGAGGGGCAATGTGCACAGCTTTGCATGACGGGCTCTTGTGCGACTGCTTTTGGCAAAGCTCGCATGCATGCTGTACATTGGTACTGGTCAGGGTGACTGCTCACCTTCATCTTCCTGAGTAGGCCGCGAGTGGAGCACGCAGGGAAGGATCCTTGAATACACTTCATACATCTTGACAGTGACATCTGCCTCATCTGAGGACTCGTAGCCACCAAGCAGGGATCCACCAGCCGGTGAGGAGGTTGGTGATGACGCTGCCCTTGGACTCTCGGAGCATTCACCACCAACCACCGGCACTTGCAACATGCTGTGGGCCGTGCGCAGTGAGTGTCGCAGGCGCAGGCTCGGAACCTTCATCCGGCACAGAAGAGGCTCTTTGAAAGAGATGAGGAGATGCAAGCTCCAGCAACATTTTCTCTCGGCAAAGCTCTGGCTTTCGCTCTGCCGGAAAACTGGCCATGGCGTCCTCTGGGGAGGCAGCTTGGGTCAATACTCCAAGGACACGCAGCAGCGCATGGCGCTTAGAGTTGGTCAAAGTTGTGACGAGGAAGTGGCCGGAGGTCAAGCGACCCGGAACGCCTGAAGACACGATAAATATATTCAGCCGCACAGTTCCTGCTCCGGGCACGTCAACATCGGAATTTAGCCAGGTCGCTGATCTGCTGGCACTGGACGCGTTCATCCGGTACAGTGTCCTTGAGCAATGAAACTTTGGACCACCATGACCCTATGGATTGCACGATCATTTGATGGAACCTCAGGCGCCCTATGGGGGATGAGCATCAGCACAGGGGCGGGAAAATCTCCTGCATCATGTTCACATCTTGTCGAAAGCATTCAAGTACCACTTCTATCAAGGCGCCGTGTCAAGAACCAGCAGGAGGATTCCAGTTGCACTCGTTTCGAGCTGAGGGGTCACAGATCCACCCTGAAGCAGGGTCAAAAAGGCCGGCCATGGAAGCCTTTCGAGCTGCCGTGTAGCCTTAGGGCCGAGACCCCAGTAAGAGCGTGCTGCTGTTGCTCAACAAAGCTTGCGAGCTTGCCATCTCAGGTCATGTGTATGCCGTGCACGTGCGTGCGCAAAACCTCTTAGCTGCAGCCTTGCCGCGCAGACAGCCAAAACCTCAGTTTTTCGCGAGTCTACTCAATTCGGCATTTTCACTTTGCGATGTGGATGAACCAAGAACACGGGCGTGGCTCCGCGGCCAAAGCTGACTGGGGATCACACATTGCAGGCACTGTCGGCAAGGTCCACATGGTCGTTCCTCAGTAAGTCTGCACAGTGTGCCTTGACCGGATACTTATGTTTTTGATATGTTCTATTCCACCAGATGCGGGGGACTCCTGATGAACCTGTGGATTCGCAGCAAACGCCAAATGCAAGCCAAAGGGTCGCATCATGCTCCGTGATGGATGTCTCTGATGCAGCTAGCAAAGGTATCCCAGCAGCAAGGATGCGGGGCCGTGCGTGCTTGAGAACTAGTCGGCCTGAGCTGCCATGTCAGCCAGAGGTGAAACCACTGGTGTTCACAGGATGGCACAATGCCACTGGGCCCTGAGCACAGCGACGCACTGCCGAGAACCAGCCCGTCCTTAAATCTTCGACCCAGGTTTCTGGCTTTGGAACATGCCACCGTCCAAGAGGGAAAAGAAGCACTAGGTACAGACTGCTGCTCTCAGCCAGGATGCTTGCAAGGTCGGGTCTGTGCGAATAAGCTCTGCAGGAAAGCGAGACACTCCTCGAGCTTCCGCCTCAGACTCGTGTGTCCGGCACAACTGATCATGTCCGCATCCGGGCCGGCTATGATACTGATACGATACGCCCTCCAGGCCTGCGAAGCATCTGACAACAGCCCAAACCAGTCCATGAACCATGATAGTCTGCTCGATGCTGCCACGGTCAGAAGTGGTGGAATTGGATTTGGCGTTGCATCTGACTCCGAGCGCTTGCCATGCTTGGTGCCGCGTGGCTCCGCCGATTGTTCCCCGTCGACCCTGGGGTGCGCGCAAGAGGTGGGCCGTGTGGCTGGACCCGCTGCCACCTTCTCGAACAATGCGCAAAAGAATCCTCCGAAATCTCCATGGGTTGGATGGATCCGGACACAGAGGCTCAAGGCACTTCGCACCTGCCGTTGCAAAAACACATGAACCTCAAACTGCAACGACAGCTGATGTCAAATACCGAACTGCGTTCTTGCAAGTCTCGTGCCTGCGTGTCAGCCGGCGGAAACATTGTGGAAGCCAGGCCTCCGCCATTGCGGCACCAGAGCTCCGGCTCCACCTCCTCTGGGTGGCCGTAGCTGCGGTAGGACTCGTTGAAGTCCGGCGCAGGGACTCTCCACTCGGTCAGGCCCGGCGCATGGCTCCAGGTCTCCAAGGGAAGCAGACGAACTTGCCCGGAGCCCAGCCTCCCGAAACATATATATATATATAATATGTACATATATATATATATTATGGCTCTGCAAGGGATCCCATCAAAACTTTGACGAGCCACTTCTCCAGAGCAGCTGCCACAACTGCCTCGTTTTCCACCGGCGACATGCTGCACGTCGAGTAGAGCAGTCGCCCCTGCGGCTTCAAAACTGTCAGCCCGCGCTTCAGGATGGCACTTTGCACCTGACCAAGATATGAGACTTGAGCCGATGTGTAAGCTTTGGGCTCTCACTCTCACTCATTCCTCAGGAGTGCTTGAGAAGCAAAATCAAAGCAGGCGGAGTGGCATAGTGCATCTGAAGCATGTAGCGAGCATGCCATCGCGGCCAGCTACCAGGGGCGCGACGCAAGCGGCCGTCACCTTCTCATGCGCAGAGTCGGACGTGCGACACGCGCACAGACAGAGGACCAAGACAGTTCCGCAACTCTGCACCATCCGTCCTTCAGCCACCCCGCCTGAACAAGGAACATCACACAAGACACGGTCGAAGCGGATCTTTCGCGCTCCCCGAACCCGGCCGTCTGAATGATCATGCAGCGTTGGGAACTCAGCCAGCGTTACAAAACAGCATGGCCAAACATCTTCACACTATGACAAAAAGCGCACACTGCGACCTAGCCACATCCCGTGCATCTCCGCAGAGCCACAACAGTGGTGCCGAGTTGGGGTGCTGCTGTACGCGCCGGACAGCCGTGGTACAGCGCGCCCAGTTGTCGTCGTTAGCAACGAGAAGACCACAAGGCACGCCACCTTGCACCAGGCGGCACAGTTTTGGTTGGAGCCACAAAGCGACTAATGAGTGATCGTTGAGCTGGGCCTGGGGAGCGCCCCGTGTTCATCATGTCGAGAAGCTGCAGCGTTTTGCCGCCCGGCGCAGCACAAAGATCAGCCACGATGTGGTGTTGCTCGACCTACACACCAGTGAGTCACAAGCGACTCACACTTCACAACGTTGCCTCTAATTTGGGGCCCTACTGAAAGAAAACGATGAGCACCAGAATACCCCTGACACCAGTCAGGAAGAAAAATGAGGCTTGAGACGCTCAGGCACTTGCAGGAGCAAAACAGGAAGCATGCTGGCAGCTTCTTGTCTAGCAAGTGCCCCTGCATCCTGGCATGCTTCCAGAAAGTTCCAGCATGTCTTTCCAGGGCCTTCAAGCGCGAAGCCGTCGAGTCCTTCTGCCTCGGTGAGGTTCAAAGCCCTGACGAGGCGAGCCTCGCTTTGCAAGCGCTGGAGGCAAAGCTGCGCAAGCGGCGACTTAGGGTTCGCGAGCCGCACGCAGTAGGGCAAAGTGGTTTGCATGAGCTTCTTGACCTGCGCGAAGTCGGGCAAGTCCTTGTAGTACATGTCCCAGGCTTCGGACCCATTCCGTGTTTCGGAATTCGGATGTACATCTAACGGCGCATCATCCGTCTCAGCTTGGGCAGCTTGATCTTCGTCTGCGTAATGGCCAGCGCTGAAGACGTGTCGCATGAGTTGGTTTCTGGATGCGAACTCTTGGCCACATCGCTGACAAGTGCGATCCGCGACATCTGCAGTGGAAATCTGGTCGGAGTTCTGGCAAACTTGAAGCGATAGCTCGCCACCACGGTCACAACCAGCAGCACACCAGGCCTGTTTTGGCCGGGATCCGATGCCATCACGGATTTTGCTGGTGTGAATGAACTCTGAAATTTTTTCAAGGCATGAATGAATTCAAACTAACTTGAGAATCCAAAGTAAGCAGCTCAGATGCTTTAGATAGAGCGGCATCATCACAAATGTGAGACTCGCCAGTCTTGTGACGCCACAAAAGCCGGATGCTCAACGTGCCTTGGCATCTCGTCCACACAAGCAGGTCCAGAAATGCTTCGAGCGGTGACTCAACCACTGCCTTGATCCAAGCCGCTGGTGAAGCATCCCTCCGTAAGCTTAGGGAAGCCAGCAGCTACTTGGCACTGCAGATCTGCCAGTACGGGCGAGGAGAGCTTGAAACGCTTCGGCATATCCAGGTAGTAGACACATACCGTGCCGACCGTGCACTCCGCGCTCACCGCCTGGCACAGCAGATCCGCGAGCCAACGATGTCAAACTCACACTGTTCATGCAAGGACATTGCCGACTATTCTGACGTTCCGGTCCCCTAATTGGCCTGATCACTGCGATAGCCGCTTGAAAGCTGCAGATCCATCGATTGGGTTCAAAACGAAGACGGCAGGAACGCGGCGCAAGAGGGCTTCTGCGAACAAGATGAAGTTGCGCCGGTTGCAAGCGGCATGGCAAGCAGAGAGTGTTTCGACCTAGTTGCCTAGAAGTCTCTGCTTCGTGCATGAGCACCCTCAGAGAGAAAACTGTATGGAACAAAACCCCTCGTGCGCGTGGATGGTCGAGCTCTATGAAGCAAGTCTGAGTTTGTTTGGGCGAAACGGCCCACATGCTTCATGGAAGGCAGCGGCAACCGAAGCATTGGAAGAGGGCGACAATGTACGGGTACCTTCTACTCGTGCTCGCTTGCTATCGGGCTCCTGAAAGGCCGCTGCCGGGAGCCCTCTCACGAGTTCCAACATTCGCTGAAAGGAGTCGTGCATGCAGCCTTGCAAGCGCCTGTCAAGAAAATATGACGTCCTTCTTCTCATCGAACACATCTTCTTTGCTCTTTACTTTGACAAAGCTTGGCATCCGCTTCTTGGCCTGCGAGTTGTCGGGTCAGCATGTGCAACTGTAGGAATGCAGCACATGAAGCCACCTGGGGGCCAACTTGCGGGCCGACCTCGGGCCCTGAGATCGTCTGCGCGACCTTCAAGGCCATCTCCAGATGTCATGGCTGGATTAAGGCTTTCAAGGGAAATCCCTTCCCTGCTCGGAGATTTCGACTCACACACTCGCACAAGCAGGCATGGCAGGTACGGTTCCGAGCTTGCTACGGGTACATGACAAGCCTAGCCCCCCACCAGCTCAGACAGATAGAGCCCAAGCGACAAACAGACTGCCAAAACCACAATAGCATATGGCAAGTGGGGCCCCATGCTGATCATGTTAGTCTCACCTTGGAGACCATCATAGCCTATCTCGTCTGTTTCAAAATGTTCTGGCCTGTATCACATGACGCACAACTCAAGTGTTCGACTAATTGAATTAGGCACTATGTGGCTCACACTCACCCGGAAGACGGCTCCCATAGCGGCATGCTTCGGAGATTTGGGGTCTGTGGGCGTCGACTCTCCATTCTCACTCATCGCAGCGAGCACTGCGATCTTCGCACTACTGCTCCATGCTTAACAGACAAATGATTTTTCAACAATCCAAATGGCCAAAACCGTACATGCCAGCCAGCAAGCCGAAGAGTGTCAACAATTCCATAATGCACGCCTGCAGAGACAGACAAGTGAAATGATAGGAGAAAACACACTCTCAATACAAGCTTAGCAAGAAGTTAGTACTGCAGAGCAGGGTACAACCACGCACAATTGAATCAGAGTGGTGCACGGAAGAGCAGGAAAAACGTTTTGCATGATGTCGGTCCAAGTCCAAGTCCTTCTGTGGTTGTTTGGGAACCTTGCACCGGGGTATGTTCTGCTTTATTTGGCCACGTCCTGCTCACCGTAGGCAAGACAGCTACCATGCTCGCGGTCACGGGCACTCATCAGAAGTGGTTCGGAGCAGCCAAACGAGAACCATTGCAGTCAACGTGTAACTGCAGCCTGACCTTGTCTGTCTTTGTCATCGCCTTGTCAATCCTTACGGTTTGACAACAACAAGACGGGTATTCCTGACAACACAACTGCCGCAGCAAATGTCCTGTGATCAGAAGCAGCTCTGCGAAACTCGCTCACTTCCTGTCGACACTAGCACTGTGAAGCTAAACATGGCGAGGACATCATGCGACAGCTGCTTCATGCTGCATCGTCGCGAACCACACACCGGTCCCAAAACTGTCTCATGGTCAACGTCTTCCCGTCCTGGTGCTTCTGGGCCTTCTCCAGCTGTCTTTCCTTCTCTTTCTGCGCCTCAGGACTCTCTGTGCCCTCGTGCTCGGAAATCAAAGCATATTCGCCACTTTGTCAATCAATAGCTTCCCGTTTAAAGGCCACACTGAGCTGGCTTTGACCCTGGGAAGGTTTCACAACGCCGGGAGAACTTACATAACACATAGATCGGAACACGTCTTCTTCGCTCTCTCTCTCCAGCTTACAGTCAACGATTCACCACTAGCCACCACTTCGGCATCAGCATCAGTTTTACATGTCTCGCTTGGAGCTCTGCCTTTTGAGTCGGATCGAACTCTTGTGGCGTGAAGGTTTGGAAGCCGAAGCTTTGCTGAGTCCTGGTTCTCCTCGTCACAAATCTCAAAATCTCTCCAGCAAGCCCTCGTCATCCGAAACTCAAAAGCCCGTCTGGCTTGGTGCGCGGCTTGATATCCAAGATCTGCTCCTGCCACGCCTGGGCCCATGTAGGCTCCTGGCTGGCGCACTCAAAAAACGTATGCACATGCACGCAGAGCCGCTGTGAACATCAGCGGGGTCCTCCATCGAAAGATCGGACATCCTTGCCCAGAAGGCCTGGCTGAAATCACAGTAGACACGAGCTGTCCAGGTTGCATTGCAAAGGCAGGTCTCGTCTGACTTGCTGCCAAGCATCGATCCATAAAAAGGTTTTGATTCTTGGAGCCTGCAAACAAAACGGAAGTCAGGCAAACATAAACCCAAAGCCCTTCGCTCGAAAACGAATTAAGCCGCCCCAAATCAGCAGATGCCAGTGACCTGAAGGAGTTCCCATCTTTGCAAAGAGCTTGTACAGCAAATTGGTGCCAAGCTCGAACCATTCAACGGTAGATCGTTTATCTGTTCCTGTGTTTACGCCAGCCTGTGGCTTTGACAATGGATGCGTGTTTTCGTGTGGGCTGAGTATCACCAGCTGCGTCGGGTGTAGACAGATTTGCTTGCGGCTCTCCGGCTGTTGCATGTGCGAGTCTTTGAACCAAAGAGCAGGAATGAAGCTCACTCAAAGCTTGCTTCTGCCGGAGTCGGGAGCGACCAGGCAAAGACTACCCGATGCAGTCGCAACAGCAAGCCTGAAAGGTCACTACTGGTCACTTGCAGTCGTTTTAAGCGTGCAGAGGCTCCGCTTCTTCGGGCAAGAAGTCAGGATATTCCGCATGTCGTGGCGGACACCAGCCTCTCCCACAGTTTTGCATCATCTTCTGGGTCTTGTACTCCTGAAGCTGGGCTTTGGGCACAGCAGCTTAACCGAAGCCTAGCTTTGCCAGGCACAGAAAGACAACAAGCCCCTGCCTTGAACACTCCATAGTCGCGGTCGTGGGTGTATGACAAACAAACCTTATCGGGAGGCCCACTCTCTTGGCGATATCCCGAGGATTGGAGCTGCAGGTTGTATCGCGACCACTCGCGAGATCGCCGGTATTCAATGTTGCCTTGGCAAAGGCCAGAGGCGCTTGGAATCAAAACGAATGACTTTTTGACGGTCAAAGAAAGAGTGAAGAGGCCAAAAATCAGAACCTCGCATTCCTGCTTGGCAAGGCTCGAGTCCAAACTATCAAGTTGAGCCGCTCGCCTTCGGTAATGTCATCAGCGCCGTGACGGCGATGGCCACGATGCACAACGCAATGCCCAAGCTTGTGCTGGTACAAAAGGCTTGCGTGTCGGTGATTGGCTGCACCCTGGTTGCCGCAAAACTGAAGTCCAGCACCTTTGAAATCCTTGCCGAGGCAAATGTTGAAGCTCACGTCGCTGTCATCGGTATGCATGTCCAAGCCCAGATCTTCGCCGACCTTGTACCGCACGACAAAGGTGTGGTGCCGGTCAAAGTGAGACCCAACGCCAGGAAAAAGGTGATGCGCAACCAGCTGCAAGAAGCTGTGGACGAGCCTGCAGGAGTTCCGTGCTGCTGCGGATCGTGAGTCGTGAGAAAAACAGCACAGTTACAATGATGGCAAAACAAAGTCGTGGGGCCCGTGCCTGTCCAGAGCTGGCTCCATGCCAATCTCGTTCACCACAACTCCATAGTTGCTCATGCTGTTTGGACGACGGGCAGGCAACCCGCTGGCATGAAAGCTGTCAAGCTCCTCAACGAAATCCTTGCAAAAACCTTCAGTGAAGATTGGAAATGAATAAACCTCCGACGCCTCCTCGGTCAGTATAGAAGACCATGCCTCCGCTGTGTTCGCTGCATATGCCGTCCAGAATCTTGGGTCGAACATGTCCTTGGAGAAGGCCTCCTCCTCGTTGAAAAGGAACTGATGACGACGAAGACTCCCATACTCAGATATCGTCTTCAAGCACTTTGCGTTCGCCTTCGCCGCATCCTGAACATCATCCATGTCAACAATTTCGGACAACTGTTCAGGATGCCCCAACAGAAGCAGGACGGCTCGCATCGTGCGGCACAGTTTTGAAGCGCTGTCGTCCGATTTGTCTTCCTCCAGCTTCGAAAGAGCTTCAGCGAAGGCTGCCTCGTCCACGACCCCATCCTGCTTAACAAGCGCATGATGCAGCCAGCTCTGGACACGAACTTCCGGAGGCGTTAGCGGATAAGCGCTGTTCACCTTCACCAGAAGGCGAAGCCTCCTTTCGTAGGGCGAGCCTGCCGGCCCCTGGATGACCACGCTCACAAGCCATGGTCCCGTATCGCCTCTGGGGACGAAGAGCTCAGTTCCATCCTTCGGAGGGCACAGCTTGGAAACGCAGATATCTACTTAACCTGATATGGCGGGCGCCGTTACTTATCCGCCGACCCCTGCTGGGGCGGCGCCAGTGAAATCCCGAAGGGTTGGTTTTTGTTTGTCTTCCCGTCAAGAAGAAGTAACAGGCTTCAAAAGTTGGCTATCTGCCACCCCCCCCACC